GGGCATCACTGTTTCTCTATAGGTAGTCTTGTAATGTTTTGTGTGAATTTTTAAAATGTTGAGACAAGAGGCAGTGGGGGAGGGGGTCCAAATTTTGAGTAGAAGGTCAGAAGTTAATGAAATAACTTCATGGTATATGCTTTAATACTGTGGGATGATTCTGTAACTTGCACAGGTGATAAGCTTTGAAGTAAAAGACCAGAAGAGACGTTGTTAATCTTTAGGTTTCATTTACCCAAGCATTACTCTTTTCTGAGGAAGAGCATTAAGATTGCCGTGAAGGCTAAACCTTAGTAAGATGTACTCAGAAAAGATGGCTTGCTTTCACCATGATGTTTTCATTGAATCAAAGGGCTCAGTCTCTTTACCTGAGGAACATCATCATATGGGATTTTAAAGAGTTGAATTAGAAGTCGGTTCACTGACCTATAGAGTTGTTTTTTTCTCCTCAAAATGTTATGGTAAAAATGAATGCTAGGAAGGATTTAATCTATTTTAAAATTTTATTATTTTTAATTTTTTCATTGGGTTTTTTTGTTTGTTTTGTTTAAAAATACTTCCATTTTATGCTTGCATCTTAATTTTAATTCATTGATCTTTCTTGGTCTGCTCAGATTATTTTGGGATGTATTGCTAATGAAATAAGATACTTTATTTTTCTTTTTCATTTCTGTTCAGTGTAAGATGTGTTCTTTGTGGCACAGCAGCTAGATCTTTTGTTTCTTTATTTCAAAAAAGAATAGCTTTTGACTTGATTTTTTAACAAAAAGAAGTTAATGCAGTTACCTTACCATTCTAGTAGCATGCCCTCTAGTAACCTGTTGATCTGTTACGGCAAAATTTGATAGAGGTATGTATGCCTAAGGTAATTAAGCTCTTGGGTATTTGTAGAGCAGCTGGATGGGAAGGATGAGTGCGGAGTGAGGAAGAGATTTTAGTTGTGAGCTCAGTTATCCTTTGCAGTTGGTCTCTTGCAGTCCAGTGTAGAAGACGTGTAGTTTGGAACCTGTCCCAGTGTGTCCTCACTTTAACTGGGGAGTGTGAGGAGAACTTTGGCATATGGTGGGAGACATGGTTTGAATAGAGTAGAGGATAGGTTAAGAAGTCACTAGAGAAGGAGAAGAATAGGACTATTATGGTATAGTATTAGGAAGTCAAATGTGACTAGTTCAGCTGTTTCTAGCATCTGTTAATTTATTTATTTTTATTGTTTAAGGGCCCTATTTCTGAAACGAAATGAAATGAAAAACAATATCTGCCTTGTGTGTTGTGATTACAACCTTGGCATCAATTTGATTTTCTGGGGTTGTTAAGGCTATATAGGATCAGTACTTAATTAGCCCTTAGCTATAGGCATATAATTTATTTGCCAACATAAATCTTAAGCTGCCTGTGTAGTAACCAGAGTGTAGATGCTTGCACGGTGATTCCATTGACGCTGTGGGGTCTAAAGCTCAGTGGCTGGAATCCTCCTGTTAATAGCAGGGAAGTGTCTGAGCACATGGCACACTTACCCCTTACTTGAGTACGCACTGAATGAATTCCAGAGTTGTGTAAGTGTAGAACTTCGGATGAGACACAATCAAAGACGTCCCAGTCAGCTGTCATTAAATGTGAACATTCAAAATCGTTTGTTAGAGAAACCTTCTACATATAGAAAAATATAGTTACATATTTTGAACCACATTCCATTGTTCAGTACTTTCGTTGACTCCTGTCCAAAAGTGTCATCTTGTGGCAGTTGCCATATACGGGTTGCATCTGTCTATTCCAGATCTAGCCATGTTTTGTTCTGGACTGACCTGTCCATTCCAAATGATAGGTATTTTAGAGCATAGCTACCTTTTGTAGTGAAACAAAAAACCTGCTGGGATAGCGCTGACGTTAATGGGGATTTTGGTTGGATACTGGTGACATGACTTAGTGCTTTCCTGACTTATTGTCTGAGCACTTTGGAAATGCAGGGGCAGATTTCACAAAACTGGCTTGCTCCGTTTTATGATACAGAAAAGTCCTAAATTGAAGGTCTCTCTACAGTATTGAGTTGCCAAGTGTTTTGGTTAAAAGATCACTGCCTTTATATGCATTTTATACTGGATTAACATCTGGTTCCAGGAAAGTTCTGAATATGAACAAGTTTATTTCAGGTGTAGTATTTAACATTGGACATATATAATAATTTTGTTCCTTTAAGCTTTTCTTTTATAAGAAATCTTAAATTTTAGATTGTTTATGGCAAGTACATGCAACTCTAATGATTACAATCTCTGATGTTCTGATTCTGAGCCCGCTAATGAGAGAAATTATTCAAAGCATTTTGAAATGCAAATACAGTACTTTGAGGCAAACAGCAATGAAAAATACTGAACCAAGTAATCCAGGTATCTGATTCTTTTCTGTGAACGTGTAAGGTAACCAGCGAGAACATATGTAAAATTACTAATGCCTAATTACTGAAAGCCTGTTGTTGAGAACCACAGACTATTCTGCTTTCAATTGTGAATTTGATGTTATTTTCCATTGTGAATGCTGGCAGTAGTATAATGATTCTGAGCAGAAGTTAACACTGCAAAAATGTTTAAGTGTGGAAATCAGTTTGGAAAAACACTAATGTAAAATTCTGTTCTTAAACAGAATTTTTTTTCTTATATAAAATAATATAAAATATCCTATAAATGTGTATGTTTTCTCGTGATTGTCAAACAGATTCAAGTAGGCTTGAAGGTTTAGAAGTCTAATGGAAGCATAATGCAAGTATAATTTAATGTGACGTGTCCTATGCATCACACATTATGTGGCAGACAAATGAAAACCAACATTTTCTTGACAAAGGTGACCAAATTATTTGTACATCTTGTCTCTCCATTTTGCTGAAGTTTAAATATGTTTTATCACTTCTTAGAATATAGTGAATAACTTGTAGTCTTTTCCACTTAGGATAAAAAATAATTTCATTGTTACGTATATTTCCAAGTTATGTATCAGTTTTCAAGATGGCATTGCTCTGACTGTACAAAGCATACGTTATTGTCTCTTGCTGCTTAAACATGGAGAATGAGGACCATAACACTACATACATTGACATGCACCTTTACACCTACTTCTTTTTAATCTTTGCACAGCTACATTCAACAGGGCCTATGGCTTAAAATTGTCAGAGTTTGTAAGTTTTCTTAGGACTAATGCCAGAGGTTGAAAGTACTAAAATAGGCAGTTAATGTGCTGATGTCTGATCAAACTTTTTTTTTGTCTGATTTTAATTTACAGTGACCTTGGGTTGTGTAACATGTAGGTGATGTAACCCATGTTACGTTATTATCTCTAATACTACATTGATAAATTCAGTTACCTGTCGTAAATCAGTTCTACCAGATGTGGACACTTAGGTATCTACTGTGTGGCTTGTGGAAGGCAGAACACCTCAATTATGACTGCATTGTTACAAGTATTGTAAATATTGATGTGTATTAAATAGATAAGGTTTTACAATTTTTTGTAAATCTTTTTTAGGGAAATGTGAAAGAGAATCTCAGTGGTAATTAAAGTATTCTAAAGAGGTACAAAATAGACTAGCATTTTCTGTTCTACTGCATTCCTTTCTACTACAGAGTTAATTCTGGCCTAAAACCAAAAAAAACTTCCCTAACACTATGTTATTAACATGCGCAGATCAAAGTCTGCATAGGTAGAAAGGTATAGATGTGTTGAAGTGGCAGATTTATTTACAGTGTAACTATAATTAAATGTGTAAGGCAGTTTAAAATACTGAATTTGAAACTAGTGTAAATCCCCTTCAAAGAGGGCTCCAAACAGGAGAAACATATTAGTAGCTTCTTCGGAATTGAATTTATGGCTGGTTTTTATTTTCAGCTGGCTTAAAATCTTTTTGATCAGCTGGTTTTTACTTTTTCTGAGATGCACGCTAGCTGCTTCAAAAAAAGTTTTAAGAAATCATGAATTAGGCAGTGTTTTTTTTATTGTATAACAAACTACTTCCTAAGGTGATCATTTCCTCGCAGAAAAACAAGCATTTTAAAGTTTATTTATGTATTTATTTATGTATTTTATTAGTGTCAAAGTATCAGACATTATGGGGTAGTGGAATAGTCTCTGATGTTTTTCATTTCCTTCCATATCCCTTCTAATTTTCTTTCCTTGTTAAACAAGGAGGAGAGAGTGTGATATTGTCAGCTTGAGGCAGTTATTTAAAACATGCAGGTTATAATGCTGCTATTTCAGAGATGAAAATGTAGTGACTGAGACTGGACTTGTGTGAGATGCATGTAGTTACTTAGAGCTGCTTGTAAACCTTTGATGTTTGCTGTTACAGTCGGTGGAAACATCTTTTCCCTTGACACTTGATGTTTAGATTTTTTGGCCAACTTTAATACTGAAATAATTTCCACTTTTTGTATTATCCATTCCATGTGTTGTGTACCAGTCATATGCTGGTATATGTTGTAGCTTTATGAGCATCTGCCATGCACCCATTGTATTAAGGTTCACTGCGAAAGCTTTAATTCTTGCTTGTTCCTCAAAAGTTGTAAGAATTATTTTCTGTTTCTGTTTTGATGAAGAGTTTCAATTTTGATTTTTTTGAATCTGGTCGCTTGGCTTACAAGTAGAACACTTCTAAATGCTCAAAGAATTTACTGTAAAATACTGTTTTTCAATTTTCAAATTATACATTTTAGTATTGGAAGTTTGTGCAAAGTCTGTAAGACATTCGTAATTCTGGCAGCAGTCTTTTTTAGAATAAGACTCCACATGCTCAGGTGAACAAACATTTATATTTACTTTCTGGCTACTTCTGTGAATTTATATACAGAATCTGAAGCTGTTGTTCTAACATCTGTTATTGTAGTTGTCTTGCAATGGTTCTGTACTTAATGCTTTAAATTATTTTTTTGTGGTATGTTGATGTTGTTGTTACGAATAATAGATAAATAGCGAAAAAGTTCTGTTACCTAATATTGTATTTTAAATATATTTTCTTCTAGAGAACTAGAGGACGAAAACGAAGCTTTGTGCCTGAAGAAGAAAAACCTGAGGTTGGAATATAGTGTTTTGTTTGTTTGTTTTTTTAACAGTTTCACAAAAAAATTAAACTTTGGGCTGAAGTGTTACTTTCAGTGCTGTAATTGAAAATATTTGCTTTCCTTCCCTCCTTTCCCCCCCCCATTCCTTTCTTTTGCCTTCTGCTGTGGCAGGAAAGGCTTCCCAGAGAAAGAAGACAGCGACAGTCTGTTCTACAAAAGAAGCCCAAGTCAGAGGATTTAAGGACTGAATGTGCTACCTGTAAAGGGACTGGAGACAACGAAAATCTAGTCAGGTAAGTTTGATGCTCTGACCTTACGAGGAATTAAAGTTCCATCTTCATGGCTTTGTCATCATGAATATAATGAAGCAAATGTGCTTTTTGAAAAAAATAAACAAAAACTTATTTAGGGGAAACATTACATCAGAAATATTGGCTTGATTCACTTATTGACCTGCCAAACACATTTACATGGTGGATTAAGATGTAAATAACCAAGATAATCTCTTTTTATAACACAAGAGAATTAATTTTCTCTTGCCAGGGTGAATTGTCAGTGTTTTAGACCAGGTCAGAAAGCTAAACAAACCAGCAGTTTAATGACGCTAAAGCTACAGGAGCATCCTAAAAGTAATTAAATTAGCATCATTAATAGTTTTATGAGCTGAAATGTGGGTTATGAGGAATTTATATTTTTAAAAATGTATTAATGCTACTTCCATTAATGCAGATCATGAAAGGGTTTGATAGTCGTGTTTCTTATCTGAAACAGAAGTGAAAAAAAAAAGGCTGTTGAATGGTGTTTTAGTAGGTGCAGAAATCTAATTAAAGTTTAGAATAGCTGGCAATGAATAGTTACTGTTGACCACAACTTCTGCTGATTTAGACTTTAAGGCCGGCATTGTGGCCTCTTGCGAAGCTGTAGAAACTGCTCACCGTTCTTGAAAGAAGAATAATGGACCGTAGCAACAAGAAAGCGGATTTTAATTGAGTCTACTGAGCTTTCATTAAAATGATCGTGTAATAAGTTCAGATAAAAAAATAGTATTGCTAAATGTCTTGTATACTTCAACTAGGTTTTTCGGGACCAGATCTCTTTAGCTCAGATATAATTGTTTTTAACAGGAAGGATTATTTCAAAATACATTTTTTCAATTATTTCAAGGAATCAGAGTTATAAGAAAAGTCAGAATCAGTGATATATGCAAGCAACACATAGCTTTAGAATCAGGATGTGTCCCAGGTACAGATGTCTTGTCCTCAGAAGAGCTGATTTTAGTATCAATTACACCATATGATTTGCTGTAGAAGTTGATACAATCTCAAGGGTTTTGTGCCAACTCGTATTTTTATTTTCAGATTGGAGGTGGAGTACCTGTTGTAGCTCATCAGTAACTGCATGACTGTTTCATACATAGAGGAGCTGCTACTGCTAGGTGCTCCTAGATCCTGCTCAGTACCAGACTGTGAGACAGAGGCGGGGTGTTGCAGTGGTTGCTGATGCAGTCACACTGATGAGAACTGATGGCAGCAGTTTCTAACTGCCTGTGACAAGATAAAGGGCTTTCTTCAGCCCTGTTGTCTGCAAGAAATAAAAGATGCAGGAAGACCGTTTTGTTGTGGGAAGGAATCCTGGGAACAACATGTACTGTGCTTTACTGTGAAAAAGGCAGTGAATTAGTTTTCTTCTTCATGCTTTCTGTAGAAGTGTTAAAGATCACATTTGAGTACATAAAGGATAAGATGATGAAATGCTCTGAAGAACAGTGTATTTAAGTTGCAATTAAAAATATGGTAGAAAACTAGTGGTATATCTTGTTTACTACATGAAAATATTTTAGTAGTGACGTAGATGGGCCAAAAATAAGCATACTACATGCCAAAACCCAACAAATTCTTTATAAACCAGCCTCATAATTAGCATTGGAAACAGAATAATAATCCTGCATGGGAGGAGAAAAAGAGTTTCTTATGTTCTAATCCTTTGTTCATAATTTTCTGAAAAATATTTTCTTAAATTTTCTGCCTTATTTTCTGTATTAGTTTTTAAGGTTATGTATTTAAAACTTTATTTTCTTCAGATAGTTCCTATAAATAGCTGTAATTTTGTGAAATTTAGGTGACTTCTAAAGTGCTTTGGAGGCTCATTTTTGATAATTATTAAATGATGGTGAAGTATTTAGTTAATAGGAATTTTTTAGTTTTTAAAGCTGTATTTCTTTTGATGAGGGTAAATTCATGGCCTGTAATAAGATGCTAGCTATTAGATAGGCTTTCTGCTCTGCAGCCAAAGCTGTGTAGGGCTGTGATCCACAGTGTTGCTATGTCAGAGACAATTCTCAGAATCCGTTTTTCTCTTACCTTGTCACAAAGTAAGAGAAGTGAACTTCTGCCTGCACTGCGTGTTTCTCCTGTCTGTACCGTCGTGCAGGACTCCTTTGTGGTAGCAGAAACAGAGTGTTATTTTAAATATGAGTTGGCAGGGCTCCTTGTAGGCAAAAGATGTTTAGGAGGGGCAACAGAAGTATGTTTTCAATATCCATTTTGTTTGGCACTATCTGTTATTAAAGCCAGGCTTTCACAGAAACTAGTAATATTTGTCATCATCTTTCCTCTTCACTCAACAAATGTTTTGTAATTACTGGGTTTTATTTTCACCCTTTCCTACTCATCTGCAACTAAGAAAAGGGAGGTTTGTGGGGAGGTCGTAGAGAGACTTTCTGAGCATGAAAGTTATCACTAAGTTAAATGGAAATACGCAACTGCTGAAACTGCAGATTTAAGGAATAGTCTTGATGGGCCTTCTAGCTTTTCCTGTTGGGTGTGACCTCAAACAGGGCTGGTTACAATCAGCTTGTACAAATTGTAGTTTTTTCTAAAATTTACGTGGCACTCACTTCAGGGTTGCTATAACTGAGTAGGGATTAGAGGAAGATAGGCAATTATGTCTTATTTTAAAAGAATGCAGCAGAGTATTTAGTATTGAATCTGGAATAAAAAAAATTGTTTAACTAGTTATTAGTGTTTGACTAATGGAGATTCATTTTTTTTTGATCTCCATCTTAGGTGCTTGTGTGCAGCATTGGATGTCTGAAGGATTATTTGATATATGTGTAGTGTCTGTACTTAACCTGTTGTTCATACGTTTTAAAAATCTTTAAGTAATTGCCTGCGAAGAGATATAAAATTCTTCCTAAAAAAAGCACATTTCATTCTGATAAATTATAATGGTTCATTAATTAGCTGAAGTTTCCCTTAATGACTATATTTCTGTACCAAAAAAAGAGATTAATGTTAGAATATCTTTAATTATGAGCTTTTGTCTGAAGTAAATTGACACATTCCCTACTTTTGTATGTGCTAATAGATGCCGTATGTATATATTACAGACATGCCAAGACAGTGCTTTTCTAATCATTGATGTCAGATTATATAGATAAACTGTTTGATATAGTGACATGCCCTAGAACTGAAAGTTTAGGATTTGTGGGTTTGTCCACAAGAAAGGATCAATCCTGTGATCCTTTTGTGCTACACTTTTTTTTTTAATTTAGAATTTACAGTGAATTATTTTATAAATACTTTTATATGTATCTGTGTAAGTTTTACTGAGCTAAATGCTGCCATTTTTACCTTCTGCAAGGTGAGTGGCACAGTTGTGATTTACAAGATTAGATGAACAGTGAAAATTTGATTGAAAACATTTACTCAAATGAAGCAAAGTCTGATCTGTAACATTGTAAATGACAGTAAGGAAGTTATATCTGTAATTAGAGAGAAGTGTGGGTTTTGAATATCATTTAGCTCAAATGAATGGTAATTGAGTTTTGAGAGGAATAGGAAAAAATGGAGGGTTCTTAGTATTTTATATTTGATGCAGATAGGTTTGATATAAGGCACGGAGACATACCACTTTTTCAAAGAGGTAAGACTTCAGTGAAAGGAGTTATATTGTGCACTTGAAACTGAAGTATTTTTAAACCAGAGGGTACCTATGGCAATATATTGCTCAATCTTAAGAAGTAATCAAATACTGAAAATATTTGTTTGAAACTGAAGGCATGTTGAAACATGGGAGTTTCTAAAGTTTGATGTGACAGATAAATTTTCTAAGAAATTCAGAAAATAATTTTAAAGTATACATTTGTTTTCAGAGGTTCAGACCACTACTGTTTGGTTTAGAAAACATTTATGTAACTATGCTTTCTTTTGTTTTGTTTTGTGAATCTTTTAAAGTTGTATATAGTTTAGACATTTAATAGCTTTCCTGAGTGGTTTATTACAGTATTGCATGAATCACTTAGAATGATAGATCTTTCAGAGGAATAACTTGATTCATAAATATCTCCTTATTTTTTTGTGAGGCCATATCTCACTAATCCAAATCTTTAGAAATAGCTCCCTAAAAGCTCTCTTTAGAACTTAACTGTATTTAGTAGAGATGTTGGTAAGGAAGTATATTTCAGGTGGGTCAATACGTAATAAGTAAAGCTTTCCCTCCATCTTGCAGCATACTCCAGAGTGAGTGATTGTACCACTGTACACACAATGTGCTTCTAGAACAGTATTACTGTCTATTCCATTTTGGTAAAAGAAAAAATTAACATGAATTGTGTATTTTATTTTAATATTTTGAACATTTTTTTTAAAGAAGAATCCACGGGCTAATCTAATTTAAAATCTTCCAGTGGAAGACTTCTAAATGTCTTCGCTTCTAAGGAAGTGGCATCTGCTCAAAAAATAATCCAGTTCTCAACTACTGCTATTTAAAAAAAAATGTATTATAGCTTCAGTTGTTCGCTTTAAGTTGTGCTTGTAATATTTAGGAATATAGTGTGTTAGACAAAATTGATATCTCAATATTAGATATGAGAAAAGTATAGTAAAATTAGAATATCATTTATGTGTGGCGCAAAATCATATTTGACCAGGTTAAAGAAATCTCTGAAAAAGCATAAGATTTCTTCATCCCACAATTTAGAGCAAGCATATAGTAATACATTCTTTTATAGTTTTGTGTATTGAATTTTTATGGTTTATTGTCAGTTAAGTTAGAATTTTCCATTTTGTTTGATTTGTAGCAACTAAGGCAAAATTATTACTTCAGCGTTACAGAGAGTGTAAATAGACTAAGGTCAAATATTTGAAAGAATATAGAATAGATTTTTTTGAAAACATGGATTTGAATGCTTGTTATAAAGTATTCAAAAAGTGTAAAGCTGCAAAGCAAATTATTAAGCACATATGTAGTATTTATTTTTAATGCAGATGCTTACTAGGAAATAAGCAATTGT